TAAAAAGCTGGTACTTACGTTTTTTTCAGAAACTTCATTTTGTGACGTACTGTGCAGGAAATTGCCTGATTATCTTACTATTAGCCAAAGCTTCCCAGCCTAAAGTGTGGATCCAGATGTTGCATATTAACCGGTGATGTATTCTTCCTTAAGTGAACACTATAGGGGCAGGAACACAAACATGTATTCCTGACCCTATAGTGTTAAATACACCAATAAAAATAGAATATACAATAGGTAGAGGTAAATAGCAAAGAATGCTATGATAGCAAAGAATGCTATGAACCACCTGAGTGAGGAGCCCTTAAACCACTCCAAGAAATACAGAACTACAATATATACAATAGGTGGATCACACGTCTTGAAGAATAAGCCTGGAGCCAAATAATATCATATGACTCCCATGAATAGTGCAGTGGGACCTTTCAATGGGATGTCCCAGTCCGCCTTCTGGATATTCTTGTGACTTTGGAGTGGTTTAAGGGGTCCCCACTCAGGTGGTTCATAGCATTCTTTGCTATCACACATTTACCTCTACCTATTGTATATTCTATTTTTATTGTTATTTTAATTCCCTTTTATATACAGTATTATAACAACCAAGCATGTCTTTTCTAGAGGAGAGAAATTATACAGTAAAAGATATAGACCACATGTTCAGAGAAACTGTGGAAACCATAAATGACACAGAATATATTAACGCGGATAAGTGCAAAAATCACTTAGAAAAAATACTTATCTGTGAAATGAAAATCAAATGGGAAGTAGCTACCCTTAAAAAATATGTAAAAGAACAAATTACACTCGGGGATTAGATTTGAAAAAGACCCCACCTTCGATAGAGAAGATTTGTGCTTCATGACAGGGTGGAACAAGTTCATTGAAGGCTTCTCATTTAGCATGATAGGGTACATAGTATCCAGAAGGGAAGAAAACTTAATTCAAATAGATGATGAAATCACCACATGGATACAAAAACTTAGCGACACCACTAATCCAGAAACATTTAATCAAATAATAAGAGAGATTTAGATTAAAATAGAAAAAGTGGAGAAAGAAACTATTGCAATTAAAAAGAAAAAATATTTAAGGGACACCCATGAAACTAAGTACATGGAAGAATCCGAACAAATTCTTTCAGATGACACGACGTACCAGAAGCTCAACTCCAACTCTACAGAGAAGGTTAAAGATTTATTTGATAAATTCATACAAAAGGGATTGGAGAAAGAAATATTAACCGAAAAAGAAGGCAAATATCTACAGATAGCATACACAAAGATCCAAGTCTTTTACTATTTGCCTAAAATACATAAAAGCACACTTAACCCACCAGGCCGCCCTATCATATCAGGGATTGACTCTATATCCTCCAGAGTCTCTGAATACATTGACACTCTGCTACAGCCCCTAGTCATGAAAAATCCGTCACATCTTAAAGACACGATTCACATATTACAAGTTTTAGACACCATTCAATGGGACATTAATTACCATCTAGTCACCAGCGACGTCATGTCTCTGTACAGCATCATTCCCCATGAGATAGGAATTAGAGCCATCAAACACTTTTTAATTAAAGCCGATTTTAAAGACGAACAAATAGAGTTCATTTTAGAAGGAATTTATCTTATTTTAGCAAATAATTTTTTTGGGTTTTATAACACTTTTTACCTTCAGATTAGGGGAACGGCGATGGGCACCAAATTCGCACCCAGCTACGCTAATTTATTCATGGCGTATTGGGAGGAACACTTCGTTTTTTCAGAACATCCCTGGGTGTCGAATTTGGTGCGCTATCGCCGTTATATCGATGACATATTTTTAATCTGGAATGGCTCCGCTAATCTTTTAGAAATGTTTGAATTCTTTTTAAACAAGTGGGGCATTATACTTACTACTACTCATAGCCAAACAGATAGTAACTTTTTAGACCTTCATGTTTTTATACAAAATAGACAGATAAAATCCAAAAACCAAAAGCAGTTGACGCAAACGGGTACATTGAGAGGAACAGCTGCCACCATAAACAATGGCTGAGTAATGCACCTAAAGGTCAATTCCTGAGGATAAGACGTAACTGCACTAATGATGAGGACTATATACAACAAGCAACTAGAATAAAAGAACAGTTCCAAGAAAAAGGATACGAAGAGGAAAGATTGACCACAGCTATGGAAGAAGCAAAAAGCACATCAAGAAAAAAAACTATTAACCTATAAATCTAAAAATATTCAACAAACATACATTCAAAAAATACCTTTTATATGTAATTATAACGGTAACAAAAAAAAAATTAATAAGGTCATAAAAAAGTATTGGTACTTCCTACAAGATGACTCGATTTTAAAAGATATTTTACCGGCACATCCACAAATCATATATAGGGGTTACATCAAGTCTCAAAAAATCCCTAGTTCAAAGTAGTGAAGGCCCAGCAATAGTGATGTCCCAAACTGTTCGCTGGTCAGCTGACACATTCCAGCCAATCAGCAGCAGACCCTCCCTCCCAGTCCCTCCCACCTCCTGGACAGCTCACTAAGAATGCAGCTTCAAAATGGATGCTGTCCAGGAGGTGAGAGGGTCTGGGAGGGAGGGTCTGCTGCTGATTGGCTGGAATGTGTCAGCTGACTGGAGTCCGCGGCGAACCGTTCGGGACATCACTACCCAGCAACCATTAAACATTTTTTAAATCAGAAGAGCGGTTACTACGGTTGTGGAACCTATCTGGCATGTAGATCTACTAAAAGTAAAAAGAGACACCTCACTAATATTCGAGAACATATTAATAGAGATTTTACCATTAGAGATCAACTCACATGCTTCTCGAAAGGTGTCATGTACTGAAATGCCCCTGTAATTTACTTTATATAGACAGAACCATCAGATGTATACATATTAGGATCTCAGAGCATGTACGAAATATTAGAAATGGATTGGAGACCCACAGCGTCTCCAATCATTTTAAGAAACACCACAACCAGAAAACCTGTTTTTTTCTCCTTTAAAACTTATTAAAAAAGACTGGAGAGGGGGAAATTATGTGAAAAAAATAGGAACAGAAGAATTTTAACACACTGATACCTCACAGTCTAAACTCAGATTTTGAGATATGTCACTTTTTAAAAATCACTTGAGAATTAATATATGCACTCTTGCACTTTCCACTCTACACTTTTTCATACACAAAGATGGTTCTTAGTATTTCTTATGATTGTTATTATCCTTTTTAAATCCTTGTTATTATCCTTTTTAAATGTACCCATGTATTTTAACAGTCTGTTTAAATAATCCTACAGTTTTGGAAATACAAAGGCTTTTAAAAGAAGAAATATCGCTGTTATTACTAAGAATCTCAGCAATATTGCACCCATGTTGTAATATTTGCCGACATTAGCTGGTTTAAATTATTCTACGAATTTCGATATCTATAGTACATATTTAGACAAAAGGTTTTTGAATATACGGCTGTTAAAGAGAAAAAATATTGTCATCATATATATCCTTAGAAACTTTTTGTCTACTCTAATTAATATAGAGTGACTATTTATATTATTTACCTAGACATCCATTAAGGCTTTCACTCTTTTAGCCGCTCTTATTAATTAATATATGAAGTGATAATTTATATTTATTTTGACAATTATTAAGGCTTCTTCCTTTTAAACACATTTTATCTACACAATAATGAAAGATCTGAATGATTGTAATGTTGTTAATGATTTTAATAAGTTAGATAAATGTTCGCCAACATTCATTAGAATCAGTACATTGATCGCACAACGGTGCCGAATTTATGAATGAATTCCTAAGTGGAACGCACGTGTCAAGCGCCATGCGTTCCAGTGATGTCAACTATGAGCCCGACTCGACGCAAGTGACGTAACCCGGAAATGAAGCGCACTATGCATTCCACCGTGCGAAGTATATGGATAAAGCAATTTAAAAGGACGCTAAGAAGCTCCAACACAACTGCCAACTGAGGAAGCCCCTGGTACGGGGCGAAACGCATTTTGGACACTATTCAGACACTTTGGCCGGTTGGTTCTATTGGACTTTGGACTGTTTTTAGCCCCATAGTCAGTTTTTTATTTATTATACCGATTTTTATATTGGTTTTATTACATATCTTGAATAAAGTTCCTTTGTGAAGAAATCCTGCCTGCACAGCTCAACTTTATTTTTATGCAGTTTGGGAAGTCACAAAAATATCCAGAAGGCGGACAGGGACATCCCATTGAAAAGTCCCACTGCACTATTCATGGGAGCCATATGATATTATTTGGCTCCAGGCGTATCCGTCAAGACGTGTGATCCACCTATTGTATGTATTGTAGTGTTAAATACACCATTTTCAAGGCAGGTGCTCTAGGCAATTGTTGCCTCTTGCGTTCAGTGCAAACAAGCTAACAAAACCAGGAACCTGTTTGCTTGAAAAGCCAGTGGTGTAACCAGTATAATTTAAAAAAGTCTAAACTTCTATTGAAATCTGCAACTTTTTCCAAAATTAAAAAAATAGGACACACTCTTCACACATAAGGTTTTTCAGCAACCCAAATTGTTTTAGGGGCCTGGAGTGTCCCTTTAAGCATACGTATAGGTGTCCCTTTGGAGGTTATCACAAGAAAGCATACATTTCAAAAGCATTTCTGGAAAAAGTTTAAGCAAAAGGAATTGCTGTTAGTATGTTTATCTCTCATGTTAAAATTAGTGTAGGAACCACTGATATTGGGGTACTGTGACGCAGTCTTGTGCTTAAAACGATGGCCATATGATGTAACTGAATCCCCATTTATGTTTCCTAGTTGCTAAGATGTGATGATAGCAGTCAATTAAAATCCAAGATTCAAACAAGCAGTGGGTGGGTAGATATCTTTTACTGGCTAGTGATACCAACTGTGCCATTAACGTTACTGATTCTTCAGTGCAGTACTAACAAATAGTTGCAAGTTTGATTTAAAGGAAAAGAAGGTGCAGAGGGCCCTGCTCAAACAAGCATGCTTTATTCAAATTTTATAAAAAACAAACAAACTGCTAAACACATTTTCAAAAACATAAGCATATGATACAGAAAGTTCTTGTAACAGTGTATATTTTGAAAATGATGCCCATGTATTTATCTTTCCTGAGAGGATATCCATTTCCTATTAATTTCCACTTCTGCTACTCTTTTTTTTTATCATTCTCTTCCTATTTCTTTGAGTATTTCTAACAAACAGGATATAAGGTGATGAGAATTGATGTCTATATGCCTCTAAACTTTATTTGCATTATTATTTAAAAAAAAAACACCAAACTATATAATAGTATTACAATGACTCAGTCATCAGAAAATATATTTGACCATGAGATCAATGCTATCCCTTTATTTTGTAAAAGCTGATTAAACACACTTGCAAGAAAACAACATAAATCAGTGCAAATTTTTATTTTCAGCCAATTTAATTTTACAACATGACAAACCTTCATCAAATCAGCATTCAATCCACCGCATTTTATCTTCAATATATTTGTAGTACAGAATAATAAGAAAACACTACACCTCATTGATATGTTTATTTTTTCCTTCAGTGGTAGAAAAAAAAAATATAGATGGATTTACAGTATATTTAAAAGAAGCCTACAACACTCATTAACTTTGGCCGGTTCTGTGACAGACATGTATTTTTTAATTTGAGAATTTACTCCAAGGGACTTGGCTAACTGCACAGCATTTTCATCATCGCTGATTAAGGTCCCAAGGGCCACAAGCAGTCGGAAAGAAGCTTCAAGGTCTTTAACAACTTCTAAACCTGTACTGATGGCCGATAAACACTGGGCTTTCCCTTCCAAGTCACCAGCTTTGTGTAAACAGATAGCGTAGTTAAGTATCAACGTGGCCAAGGCAGTGTGAATATTCTTATTATTGACTGATTTAAGTTCTATTGCTTTTGTGATTAAAGTGTCTCTTTGTGACATCATGAGTTTTGTGCCTGGATCATAGGAAAAGCAGTTGCATAATGTCCGAAGAGCAAGAAGCTGATTTGCTTGCCTGCCTCCTGGGTGCATTAGCTTTAAGAGGTAGCTACTGAACTGACTTCCTTCTTTATCATTGCAGAACATTTCATTTACCATTGGATTCTTGATGCATAGACGAAGAACATCTAAGGCAGGAAATACAATTTCTAGATGGAGAAAACAAATAAGAGCGTCTTTAGATCATATCATGAATGATATCTAAACAATGTCCTGGAAAAAACCTAGTGGTCTGCTTATATGAATTACAGGTTAGAGTATGGTCCTATTAATGTGCATGTTCTTTAAATGAAAATTGCCCTGGCTGCTTCTTTACATGAGATAATTCGCCTTAAATTGCTTAAAAGAATGTGTGACAGAGGTGACATTTCTGAAAGTACCAACTGTAGTTACTGAGGCCTAACAGACTTTTTGAGGTAGTAATAGATAAAAATAAAGACACTTATTTATTTCCTACCTTCAGGCCAGTTGACTACCCTCCACAGTGTGTCCAATTGTTGAGCTGTTGCCACTTCTCCTGATGAATTAACCACAACATGTAAGAGCTTCTCAATTCTCATTAAATCTTCCTCAGGCATCCTCTGTTCCTCAGGAGCAGAATCATTTAATTCTTTCAGTTTACCTAAAACAGCAAAGAAAACAATCACATGGTAGCTCTTTCCTGAACAAATATGTCTGCCAATATATTTCAGTCTTAACGAGATATCTGTCAGCTGGGGCCACAATTAATGGCTTCAGACTGGTTGATGAGCTGTAATCAGGGTTGAAAATGAGCACGCAATACAGCCAAATAAATGCAATGAGAAGACTGCAACTGAGCGATAGCTATTAGCCACAGTGATTCTTAGCTATCCTGTAGGAGACGCCCAGGGTCTCCCTACTTGCTACTATTCCAATATGATTTATGCAGGGCATGGCCAGTTGCCCTGCATCGATCGTAGTGTAATGACAAATTGCAGGCTTTTCAGCATGGCAGATGTTCCCCTGTCATGCTGAAAACAGCCAGTAGATGGTGGCAAAACTTTGCCACTGCGGTTTTAACTTAGAATTTCCTTTGTTAATATCAGTACTGGATATCTGGATGTTTTATACTAATAATGATCGGCTCCACTATTATGCTGAAGCCCAACTGAGAATACATACATTTTAAAAATCTGTCTAGAAAGCACAATGTCAGTTAAGTTTATGTATTAACACATGCAAAAGTTACATATAAATTAGTTAAATCCTTTTTTCTTTCATTTTGTTTATGAATATCTAAGCGACCTATGACATCATAGGTGACTAACACGCCATGTAGGCATCAAATTAGATTTTTAAACTATCTATACATGAAAGCTCCTTATACACTTTGTCTTTTAAAGTCTTTTGAAAAGGTGAAACATGTTAATGTTTTATTGTTTTTATATAGTTATAAATAAAGTTTAATAAGTTTTTTTTGCCCTGTTCCTGGACCTCAAATCCATTTGTGATTATATCTACCTAATCCTTATGAATTGAGCAATAATATATTGCTCAGGAATATTTAAGAAGGATTCCGTCTTATTTTATTACACTGTCTTATATCCGCAGAGAGCACTACTCTTCTGTTTTACCTTACATGATAACGATGATAACACCTAAGTGAACTTTATCCTAGAGGGGGGGATTATACCACTTCACACTGCCTTACTGGAGTCATATAAGGCTCTGAATCATGAGTGCATATACTATTATAAATATCTGTATTTATATAACCTGCTACACTATGTATTGCTCCTGTCTCTCGTTCTACATTCCATATTAATATTCCTTTATATTCCATACCCATTAACCCCTTAAGGACCAAACTTCTGGAATAAAATGGAATCATGACATGTCACACATGTCATGTGTCCTTAAGGGGTTAAAGAAAGAAATCCTCATATTCCAAGTAGGGATTGCTCCACTGAAGCCTAAATTCCAGAGCTGGCTTGAAGCTCTGTTAAATGTAAATTGATTTCCAAATATCCAGATATACTACACCATTGGACTGTTTCTAGTTTTGGCTTACATATTCAACAATTTGAAGCACAGCTACCAATCAATTATGAAAAATTAGCAGAGTGAAACCTTTGGTATTAAGGATTAGGATTACTATCATGTTTAGGATTAGGGCCAGCAAGGGAATCCTTCTGCTGAAACCAGCAAGGGAATTCCTCTGCTGAATTCAGTAGAGGGATTCCTTCTAATACTACTACTAGGTTATGATTAAATAGAATTATGGTAGAGGGAATGCTGAATTCAGTAGAGGGATTCCTTCTAATACTACTACTAGGTTAGGATTAAATAGAATTATGGTTATGATTAGTGTTATTAGGCATATTCTTGGGCTACAGCAGGTTAGGATTAGTGCTTAGATTATGATTAGATCTGGGATAGAAAGGGGTTTGGTTTAGGACTTGTTACTTTGCAAAGGTGTGTATATACACTGCTCAAAAAAAATAAAGGGAACACTCAAACAACACAATGTAACTCCAAGTCAATCACACTTCTGTGAAATCAAACTGTCCACTTAGGAAGCAAAACTGAGTGACAATCAATTTCACATGCTGTTGTGCAAATGGCATAGACAACAGGTGGAAATTATAGGCAATTAGCAAGACACCTCCAACAAAGGAGTGGTTCTGCAGGTGGTGACCACAGACCACTTCTCAGTTCCTGTGCTTCCTGGCTGATGTTTTGGTCACTTTTGAATGCTGGCGGTGCTTTCACTCTAGTGGTAGCATGAGACGGAGTCTACAAACCACACAAGTGGCTCCGGTAGTGCAGCTCATCCAGGATGGCACATCAATGCAAGCTGTGGCAAGAAGGGTTGCTGTGTCTGTCAGCGTAGTGTCCAGAGCATGGAGGCGCTACCAGGAGACAGGCCAGTACATCATGAGACGTGGAGGAGGCCGTAAGAGGGCAACAACCCAGCAGCAGGACCGCTACCCCGCTTTTGTGCAAGGAGGAATAGGAGGAGCACTGCCAAAGCCCTGCAAAATGACCTCCAGCAGGCCACAAATGGGCATGTGTCTGCTCAAACAGTCAGAAACAGACTCCATGAGGGTGGTATGAGGGCCCGACGTCCACAGGTTGGGGTTGTGCTTACAGCCCAACACCGTGCAGGATGTTTGGCATTTGCCAGAGAACACCAAGATTGGCAAATTCGCCACTGGCGCCCTGTGCTCTTCACAAATGAAAGCATGTTCACACTGAGTACATGTGACAGAGTCTGGAGACGCCGTGGAGAACGTTCTGCTGCCTGCAACATCCTCCAGCATGACCGGTTTAGCAGTGGGTCAGTAATGGTGTGGGGTGGCATTTCTTTGGGGGCCGCACAGCGCTCCATGTGCTCGCCAGAGGTAGCTTGACTGCCATTAGGTACTGAGATGAGATCCTCAGACACCTTGTGAGACCATATGCTGGTGCGGTTGGCTGGAGTGTGTCAGCAGTTCCTGCAAGACTAAGGCATTGATGCTGTGGACTGGCCCGCCCGTTCCCCAGACTTGAATCCAATCGAGCACATCTGGGACATCACGTCTCGCTCCATCCACCAACGTCACGTTGGACCACAGACTGTCCAGGAGTTGGCAGATGCTTTAGTCCAGGTCTGGGAGGAGATCCCTCAGGAGACCATCCGCCACCTCATAAGGAGCATGCACAGGCATGAGGTCATACAGGCAAAGGGAGGCCACACACACACTACTGAGCCTCATTTTGACTTGTTTTAAGGACTTTACATCAAAGTTGGATCAGCCTGTAGTGTGTTTTTCGACTTTAATTTTGAGTGTGACTCCAAATCCAGACCTGCATGGGTTGAAAAGTTTGATTTCCATTTTTTAATTTTTGTGTGATTTTGTTGTCAGCACATTCAACTATGTAAAGAACAAAGGAATTTAGAAGAATATTTAATTAATTCAGATCTAGGATGTGTTATTTTTGTGTTCCCTTTATTTTTTTGAGTTGTGTGTGTGTGTGTGTGTGTGTATATATATATATATATATATATATGGGCATTATACTCAGCAGAGTTTACATAGTACAGTTAGGATAATTTTATTTACGAGATTTAAAAAAATAAGTCAATATAAATTTGAAAAAAACAATGAAACACTGTGGACTTTGCAAATGTGATAAAGTCATGGAGTAATTTAAATAAATGCCCCAAAATGCACCATAGACCTAACTTAAAATTTAAAAACCAAAATGGCACTGGGCAGCTTATAAATTCAGCCCTGTATTTTCATAAACACTTGACAATGGTATTCAAAAGTGGACATTCTGTACACAGGAGATATAGCTGAGCACAATTTAGTGAATATTATCACAGTAGCAAACACCAAGTTTACAAAATAAATTGCTAAATTGCAATGTAAATGTAAATAATGTGAAAAAATTGAAATAAAAACTTTGAAAGAAATTACTGCTAAAATGGCTGTAAAGTAAGGCTGAAAATATACCATATTACATACCCTGTGAGGACTACTTTCATAAATAGTATGCAATTATGGGGTAATTTGAAGTGTCAAACTGCTACAATGCCATAGCTATCAAAACGTGTTTTTTCTATGATGGCTGTGATGGCTATTAAGCTTAAACGCAAACATGGCAAATTCTACACTGTTTCCACATATAAATTTGATTTTGCTCCTTGTATTTGTAACCTGTAACTACCAAAAATAAATTGAAATCCTAGACATATACTCAGGACCTGCCTAAGGGGTGTGCTTGCTATGGCAGCAAGGGTGCAGGCCAGTCAACGCAGCTCGCCCATTCAGGGGCCACGCTAAATTTGCCCCTGCGTTGATTACAGGGGCTGGACATTGGTGGTGCAGTGTAATGTCTGCATGAGAAGGAAAATGCATACTGTACATGGATGAGGTGAGACCAGGGAAGGGAGCTGTGAATATTTTCCGCACAGTGCGCTTACAAGCCTAAGGCCAACCCTGCATATGCTTTGTAAGTCAAGACAAATATATAAATATATATAAAATCGCTTTTCTTAAGGAGCACTATTTATGCTCACATTATTATTTTAAAACTGTGGTAACAAAAAACAAACCCTTTTGGCCTTTAAAAAAACAGTGTATAATATATCTTGATGCAATAAATAAGGAGGATGGAAATTGCAGCTGAACACACACATAGCAAAAATTGCTTAAGTGTAAAACAAGCAAACTGAAGTGGTTTTCCTTAAGCAGTTAATGAACTGAAATAATGATGCAACAGAATACTCACCTAAAATTTGAGCTGGATTGGCTTGGTCAAAAGTCACAGGTTCTTTCTTAGGGAAGTATGTGTTGTGAGTTTGAGCAGAAGCTGATCGATAAGCATTCCTGCCTGTGGCAAATGAACACGTTAGAAAGCAAATAAGTAAACCTCCTCATTTAAAAGAAATCCTGCTGCGGTACTATTTGACATTTACATTGCAGAAGCAATATTAGTCCTTTATCCATGCTGTGTATGGAATTAAATTGCATTTAAAAAAAAACATAACAGCATGCTGTACCAATGGTAGCTGCAGCCTGCAATAGTAGCTGCAATGGCAAATACTGGCTTTGTTTTGTTACCTGTAAATGGATCTGCTGCTGCAGCTGAATAATTAGACTGTGATGTTGATCCGGGTACATAACGGCTACCTCCTATAAAAGAGAGATACCACATGTCTTATTAATGAAAACACAGATTGTGTCTGATAATACACTCACAGCAAATGCTGAACCACTTGGCTTACAGGCATTACAGTTGAAAGGGCACTTCAGGCACCAACACATTTAATGTACATGTTAGGTTAATGTAAGTTAGGCTGGGTTTTTTTTCCCCCTCAAACTAAAAACTCAAAAAGTGCTGCTGTACATAATGTCATACTTAGGTTTCTGAGAGTTAGCGGTTTGCTTTCTACAATAGAAAGTGGACAATTAAACAACAACTCTCAAAACTCTTGCTGTACACATAAGCCACTGCATATGGGAAAGGTTGAGTGGTGCTATAGAAAGTAAAGTAAGCATCAGCCAATTCCTGAGTTTGTGGCAAGTTGGGAGTTTTGCAGGACATGCAAAAACATCAAATGTGAATATTGTTGTTTCATAAATTCAAATCATTTTTTGGGGGTATATTTTTAAGAGGGGTGATCTTTTAGGGTATTCATATTTTAAAAAAAGTAAACATGAGCTAATCTTAAATAATATCATTCAAATCATAATTGTCATCAGAGTTGAGCAGAATTGGTTAGTGTATTTGGGTTATTGAATGTAGTTACCGTTGACTTAAGCATCATTACAGACAGATTTTATGAATTGTCATATAGGCCAATTAGCAGGAAGGGCACTCAGATATATAATGTGATATCAGCAATGTAAGTGAAAACAGGCATTCTTGTCTACATGAGCAACCATATGGGTAAATAGGCAATTTAATCTGTTCACAACATCCCCCCCACCCCCTCTTTTTTTTCCCAAAACTTTTTTCCTGGGTTTGGTAGACCAGTCCTGGCTTTGGGGTTCCGTCCCACCAATTTGCGGTTATTTTCTGGTGTATCTCCATGGGGAGACATTGCGGAATTGTTCCAGTGATTGCATTAATAGACATACTCACACTCTGCGAATAAATACTCAGTGTTTCACATGCACTCTGCACACATTCAGGTCTTTAGTATCCGTGTGCATGCACTTCAGACTGACAAACCATTTTTTGGAAGGGCCTGTCCCTTTATTCATCTTAGCCCAATATGCTGTACCGATTTAAAGCCTTGCTATGTTAGGAGGTAAGTTTTATACCTCAAATTTATATGGAAATACGGTACTACAGCTTTTATAACAAATCTGTTTTGTACTTTAATCCAATTACAGAGAATCATACAATATTCTAATATTTTCTTATTGTAAGAGTAGGTGGGTTTATCCTTTAAGTACCTGTTTTTGATTACTAACTATTAAGATAAGTGAAAATTGTGTGAGTTTTCTGGAACAGCTAGTTTAATGTATTTCCATTCTAAATGAAAGTACCCATCTGGCAGTCCACACTGCCTGAAATTATGCCAGCCCTGTTGGCTGTTGAGAGGAATTATATTTTGTAGCAAAGTACCCGAACTTTATAAAACGATTTAACAAATCCACTTAATGCTTAAGGATTATTACTTTTTTTTTTTGTGAGACTGACATGGTCTAATTTAGTTTAGAGTTATTTTACATACCTGTAAATGGATCAGCTGACGAACCAGAGGTGGCTGAGCGTTCAGGGATATAACGGCCTTCCCCTATTGTGATACAAAGATATTCAAAAAGTTACATGTTTATGAGTTGTTACTTAAAGTTTATTTTTATTAAATCAAAACACAAACTACGAGAGACAAAACATGTTCATTTTATTGCAGGCGTTGACAAAAAGAGAATATTCCATGTCCGCTGCTTTGTAATTTTCAATTCCCATTAGTTTAGTAGTGCACCAAAGCCAACAGTCTTCACTCTCTGTTTAAAAGGTAGATCTTTTATAAAGCTATGCTATGTGCAAAATATTGCTGAAGCAAATGGAAATTTGTAAAACAAAATTGTTTACTAAAAGCAAATTATAAGTTAATATTCAAGTTTAAGATATTTTCAAAGGACATACTAAAGTGACAGATTCTTGTCTAAATTGCCTAATGTATGTGTATTTCCCTAAAATTAGATAAAGATCAATCATTTAGGTTTTAATTGCACGTGCATACTCTGGCATGCATTGCAAGTTGTTCGGTAAGCAGTGTATATATAGGGACAATTGGAAATGTGTCATGGATTTGTAGGGTATACATAGTAACCAACTTTGTGGCCCATGCCTAAGGATAGTTGAGCTACAAATATAAATAATTATGTTTCAGATTTGCGCCCACATGGCAAGCAAAATGTGTATATGAGAATAAATAGGCAAACGATCCTGCATTTTATTAAAGCTAGCAAACTCTGAATTGTTGTATGCACCAGAAATATACTTCACACCATCATTAAACTAACATAATTGTAGGGGAAAAAAGCAACTATTATCTTTGTTCTTTCATGTTTACCTGTGAATGGATCTGCAAATCCAGTTGTTGTAGAGGTGACTGTTTGCGCATTAGTGTTGTCAATGATAAATTTGGCTACTTGATCTAAGAACATGGGATTCAGATCATTTTTTTGTAGGAAATTGTGTGCAACAAGCCAAGGGTCGTCTGAACAATTATAAGGGAGCTTGAAAGATGGACCACTTTCATTCACATCAATTGTGAACACATAATCATATTCCTTTAATAAAAAGACATTATGTTAGAAATAAATAGAAGCATCAGAGCACATGGAATATATATGACTGACAAAGCTACACATCCACTTAACTTGATTCAGCTATGTAAAAATTGTTAGTATGCATGTCGAACCATGGAATGCCAGTTGTTACTGAATTAATAATAATGGTGCCCACCAACTAAATGTCTGTAGTTTAAAATCCATTGGGGTTTGAGTAGATAATGGGCCCTAAAGTCCTGAAAATAATCACAATTTTTTGGGGACTCTAATTTACCTTCTATTGTTGTGACCTCTGCCCACTCCCTTTGCTGGTAAAAAAAAAAAAAAGTTAAAAGTTACACAGTTTACTTACCTGGTTTCCAGTACCAATACACCACTGCTGCAGCGGCCCGCTCCACCTTTGTCAGCATGCTTGTTGATGCATCTAGTTCAATCCAATTTCTTTTCATAGAGAAGCATTAGGGACAATATACACATGGACAGCAAAATGCTGCCATCCTCCAATCAAATGCGCTCTATGAATGAAGAACCAAGTTTGACTTGGTTCTGGAGGCAGAAGCACCTTTAGTGACTGTTGGGAAGACAGTCACAAATGGTGAATTTAAAGGGACACTATAGTAACACAGACCACTTCATCTCATTGAAGTGGTCTGTGTACACTACTAGACAGCCACTAGAGGCGCTTCCTGCTGTTTCATGGAGTTTAATTCAGTGAAATGTCACTGGCTGTCCTAACGCTTTGCATGAGGACCTCCAGCGTCTTAAAGTTCCTATGGGGAAGGCCTAATGTGCCTGCAGTGCTTGTCGCATATATGTATTCGGTACCCCCTCTGCGCTGACTTCGGAGGAAGCAGAGACAGAGCCAGCGCCAAAAGATCTCAACGCTATAATAAGGTACATTTAAAAATATTTTTTAACCTGCTATTCTCACGGTTAAAACATTGATATATGTAAGGGAGATTTATCAAAGTGTCCTATCCTAAAATAAAAAAATGGTCTAAAGTACGAAGACTGGAGAAATTACAAAGGGAACCAGTGGAACCTGCAAGCACTTTTGATGAGTCCTCCAGTTTTACATTTTAGTACCACTTTTTTTTTTTTTAATATAACACTTTAAAAAATCTACCTTTAGGTGACAGGCAGAGATTCAACTGATTTGACAGACATCAGTTTTACTGAAAATATATCTACCGCCTGTGTATTGGTAGGGATTGCTTGAAAAAGGGTAAAAGCATTTAATGTATGCTGTTTTATGGATCTGCATATTTTTCCACAGTTGTCCAAATCTAAAATGAATTGGCAGCTTAATCACAATTCAGATGTAAAAAATATCTGTAGATCTCAAGTAGCCCTATTACTGCACCAACGGAGATCTGATTCAAAGCAGCATCAATTTTTGCTAAAGAATTACCATTACACCAAAAGGATAATTATCTGGGTTTGATATGATTAAAGGTATCTCAGTTATAGTAAAACAAACTTATACATGTGGGAACCAACACAACAATAAAATCTACACACCTTGCCTTCATATAAGACCTTTCCAGATGTTTGTTGTGTTGCTCCTGAAGACCCCACCACATCCCCGATCTTCATCCAGCGCATTTCACTAGCATTCCACTGGTAGGCCTCAACTTTACCGTCTACATTTATCAGCCGAGTTTGTCCATCTTTTGTTCCTTTTTAAAAAGCAAAAATAAAGCAGAATTTTGAGATTTTAGGGAATCTGACATTTGTATTTTGTGCCAGCAAATATGGCTTCACCATAGATAAAGAACCAAACGGCATTATCTGGCTGTCTGCCAATATTCTGGTCATCTGCACTATGATGGTGATGGGCTACAACAGGAGCTTTTCTTTTTACCTAATGATCTGTTAGCAAACAGTGTTTAGACATATCTTGCTCTCAATCTCTCTCTCTAACATTCATTTTATATCAGCATCATGATATATATTTGTTCATTTCTATATGTTATTGTGCCACGTGTTTTCAGACTCTGTATACTGTAATAAGGAGAGTTAGTAAGGCTCCATATTTATAAGTGTACAATTTCCTTATATTTAATACACATAATATTTCCATTGATGTGTGTGATTTGTAATTTCCATTTACGTTTCATTATCAACCTTGTTGTAGAAAGCATTTCAGTGTGCAATAGCACCTCCTAATGGATATAATCAGACAACATGTAAAGAGAAAAACCATAAAACATAACGAAGAGTGACATTTCTTTTCAGAGAAAGGAATATTAGTCAAGTTGTAATTGCTAGCAAGCATGTGTAAAATACAATGATAGCCCCTACCAGGTTCAATAAGGTGGTCTTTTCCAGGCAGGTCCTCTATCTTAATATCTCCTAGATCTCCAGTTTTAGGATCAATGGTGGCTTGAGAGAGTTCATCTTCAAATGCTTGGATTTCCTCTGGGCTTGCTGTGCGATCTTGACACTTTGTAAATACTCTGATTATACCGTCACTAAAAATAAAAAGACTTTCTTGACAATATTCTTGAATTAGATGTGTTTGCTTTAAGTATTGCTTGTGAAATGAGCATGCTCACCTTTAGCAAAGCTAAAATTACAGATATGGGCATGTCAAGCAGAAAGATCATGAATAATTACATCTATCAAATACTTTATTGTCTAGGTTAACTATCCCCTGAAGAGGAAAGTGATACAGAGCTACATATTTGCAATGCAGTTGCTTCACACTGCAAGAGATTGACAAATAGAAATGCAAATTTATATATATAAAAAATAAAATAATAATAATACACAAGCAATTTATATGAAACACATGATAGGGAGCTAGCACACAAATTAAATACAAATGAATAACATGTATAGTGGATTATATTTTACCCATAATTCACAAGAAATGCACACGTGCTTTCACGAAAGCATGTGAGGGAACATGGGACATTTGAGTCTGAATTTGATACAAGGCAAATGTAAATTAAAAAAAGAAAAGAATGGTCAACATAGTCATTGAATTAAATAAATAGTAGACTATTCACCTTCACAGCAACAGATCAATACAAAGTATGTCTGTTTATATTTGGGACTAAACCTGACAAACTATACGCATATTTAGCAAAACAGGAATCTCACAAAAAGTAAGGAAGTGGTTTAAAACAATCTGCTTTAGATTTTACAGCATGTCTACTAAACAAATGTAGAACATGTTCTGTAGACTTCCAAAATCTACATACTGTTAGGATGTTACTCAGTTGCTGTCCAAGTGACAAAGTAAAAGTTTAGCGCAAACCACTGGAATGTCCCTTCAGCTGGTTTATATCTTAAAAACTTTACCATTGAAATACACTTTAAATACGCCTTTTGTTGCATCAATTATCCATTATTTTAAAATCTCTTTTTGTGAACTTTTAAGGCTGGTGAAACCATTTATTTATTAGATACCTTGCTCCAATGACAATATCCCCATTTTCCAAGATACAACTGCACCACACAGACTGGGCAGGGAGACGAATTGTCTGTGAACACTCTCCTTTTCTCCAGATTCTAACAGATCGGTCTTCTGCTGTAGTCACAAAATCTGAAAGGAAAGATTTTACAAGGTCAGCTACTTATATATCCTGTTACAGAATGCAAAAAAAAAAGTTATTAGATCCTTTTCTCTCTTCCCACTAAAGAAGCAGTTTACATATTTGTAAAAACATTTCACATGAAAGACTATAATTATCAATCATCACTGGAGTGGTATCTTGTTCTCAAGTTAAAGGAAAAAGATGTATTCCCAATACGAACGTGTTTCTCTGCCCCTGCAACCGCTAGATTCCTGCTCGTATTGTAAATGGTTAAATAACTCTTTGTTCATGTACCCGGTTTAAGAACAGAGGTGTGCCTCCTCCTACGTCATTCAACTGGGGGGACCTAACGCGCATGCACGGCGAGTGCCACACATTATGCCTTCCCCTTAGGTAAACATTGTCTTAACGCTTTCCTATGGGGTTTTCTCTGACACTGGATGCCCTCATGCAGAGCGTGAAAGTGTTCAATATCATTTCACGGAATCAAATGCTGTGAAACTCAAGGAATCGCCTTTAGTAGGTGTCTGGCAGACAGCCACTAGAGGCAGTCTTTGTACTGCAATGTACAAATTGCACTTTCTCTAAAACTACTTATTTATGCTTCTTCATTATTCATGCCAATTACATGCAACCTAGACAGCAAACCTCACCCAGCACTCCCAGCTGTAGAAGATATGCTGCATTGAGTGCACCTTTTTTGCACCTCTATTTATAACAATTCATCACTTGTAAAATGCTGTTCCCAGCCATCAATCCCTTTACACAACAGAGGAGGCCAATTAATATTATGATTATTGGAGGCTTGTTGATAGTGGCACTTAGGGCAGGTGTTCCACCAGATAATTGTTGTCAAGATAAAAAAAAAAAAAGAAATTCTATTGCTAGTGGTAAAATAGTAAATTATTGATATAAAGGGTTAACTTGGAATTTTCCAGTTCGAGAACGGTTTATCTCCATAAGGTAAGAGTGCGCCCAGGGGAATTCTGACACCATAACAACGTAATTTAGATGAAGTTGCTAGGTTACTTTGAGAGTTTCTTTAATAAAGTTGTTTTTATATGTAGTTCATGCCCCTGCAGTATCACTGCTAAATTATCTGCCATTTAGGAGTTAAATCACTTTTGTTTCTGTTTATGAAGCCCTAACCACACACCCCCCGGCTGTGACTCACACCCAGCCTGAATGACAAACATTTTTTCGTTTTTTCAATTAGACATTCTACTTGCTCTAGAAGTTTTTATCTCCTGCTCTATAAATTTAACTTTAATCACACACAGCAGGCTCTAGAAGGCTATTAACAGAGCAGGAGATTAGAAATTATATATTAAATAGACTGTGTAATAAAGGAACCTAAAATATTATAGAAGGCTGTGCAAGTCACATGCAGGGAGGTGTACCTAGGGCTGCATAAACAAAGTGATTATTTCATAAATGGCAGACAATTGTGCAGTGAGACTTCAGGTGGATGATCTATACAACAAAACTGCTTCATTAAGCTAAAATAGTTTTGATGCCTATAGAATCCCCTTAATAAACATTTTAAAGAAAATGGAGCATTATATAAAACAAAACAAAAAGATGTTAGATGGATTTAAATGTTTTTTCCATGGTGCAATTTCCAGAGTAGCGACAGTTCCACTTTAAGCTTAACAACTCCTAAACACGAGAAAATAAGTGCATCTCCCCTATAAATCCCTGATTACTACTACTGGTGTTTAAAACTACTAGAGTCAGATTTACAGATACACATTAAAATACTATATTCTGTACCTTGAGAATCTGGAAAGAGACATATGCTATAGATATAATTAGTATGGCCATAATAGATTTGCAGGCACTCCCCAGTTATTTGCCATCTTCTCACACTGGCATCATTAGAGCAGGAAAGAAATTCAATATTGCTTAGAGTTGCCAGCCCTCGAACACAGTCCTCGTGTCCTACAAGTTAAAAAAAAAAAAAAAAGAGATCTGAGATTATTTCAAAGAGGCAAAACAGTTTAAAATGCTTCAACTGTTATTATCAAGATAATTTTCTTTTAACCAAACGACATTGCCACATTGCCAATTATTTTGGAAATACCACAAAATAGACTGGATACAATTATATTCACATACCTAGAAAAGTCTTTTCACACCTTCCTGCCTTCCACAGCTTGATCGATTTGTCAGCTGAGCCAGTCAACATCAAACCTTGCTCGGGCAAAATCTTCACTGCCCATACAGCAGCTGTATGACCCTACAAGATAAAACAAAAGAAAACTTTGAAAATGAAAGTGATACCATATTAAGGTTTGATAAAGGCTCAGATATTGAGCCGAACCTTTTCCTGAAATAAATTATGCTGCTTTTGGATACCACCTTGGTTTTCAATTTCTATTTGAACTGTTGGGAACTCGCTCCTGCAAGCTACATTGGTGGACCGAAGTGGACTTTATCCTGTTGTCTAGCATGTGCAATTCCAACATGGTAAACTTCTCACTCAGTGTAATCCATTAGCGAGCAGTTTAACACTAAGTAAAGGGGGTATGGCCAGAAGACTCCAGCCATAATAACCAACTCAATGAAATGCAATGGTTATGTGAAATGGTTATACTGCCAACAGTGTCCATTTAAGTTAAGAGGGCAGACAGACTGAACATGAGTAGCTAATGCACATGCGCTTTGTATTCTCCAAATCTTCATTTGTCAAAGGTGGCTAATTTTTTCAACTGCGAGCACCCAAGCTTCACAGTCATGCTAAAAGTAGCTAATGAGAGCACTGCTTTAGCTAGTTCTGTTCTCCAGTAAGGCTTCAGAAAGGCCATTTTCAGAAGCATAAACGTAAAGGGGAAATTGCACTTGCTGCATTTTTTAATATTATGTTTACTTTAAAAAAAAATTAATGAAATGTAGTAATCCACACATTTATCTTGCAAAAGAACTCCCCTATCTCGGCTCCATGTCAATCATTGTTATAAACTTGGTCTTCTGTACCTGGCAGTTAGTATAAAGAAAGCATACAGAGAAAATGAGAAATGTTTCTATTTCTCTTAATGTGTGCCTTAGTTGTGCATGGACTGAACTGGATTGTGATGCAATTTGCTAAATATGTAACAAAAATTTAAAGTAAAATAAAGTATCACATAAAAAAAGTTGAAGGGACACAAAAGGCATCAAATCAATATTAGCTTACTGAAGCAGTTTTGGTGCATAGATCATACCCATGTAGTCCTACTGCTCAATTCTCTGCCATTTAGGATATAAATCACTTTGTACAAAAAGCCCAAGGCACACCTCCCCGCATGCGACTTACACAGCCTTCCTAAACACTTAATGTAAAGAGAAATCTAATATTTAAACTTGCTTTATGGCAAATTGTGTTTACTTTAGAATTTCTTATCTTCTGCTCTATTAATAGTCTTCTAAGCCCCACAGTAGCCTCCTGTGTGTGATCAAAGTTCAATTTAGAAAGCAGAAGGTAAAAACTTGTAAAGCAAGTTAACATCTGGTTGAAAATTAAACCTTTTTTATTCCAAGCTGCCTGAGTCCCAGCCATGGTAGGTGTGGTTAGGGATTCATAAACAGAAACAAAGTGATTTAACTCTCAAATGGCAGAGGATTGAGCAGTGAGAATGCATGGGCATCATCTGCATGCTAAAGCTAATTAATTAACATAAAGTTGATTTGGTTCCTAAAGCATCTCTTTAACACAAGTTTTAGATGATTTAACATTTTTTATTCGATAGCGTATCTTCCAGAGACATGACAGTTGCCTTTCATTAAAGCGGCACTGTCATGCCGAATCCTGTTTTTTTGACAACTACTGTCATCTCCCCCGGCCCCCACCCCTGCGCTGCGGGTGGGGGCCATAATGATAAGCTACCCCTCCCTCAAATCTTCATTTTTCAGCCCCAAAAAGGATAAATAAAACCATCATAACCGCTGAATTTAAAATAAAATAAAATACCGGTGCAAAAAAAAAAAAAAACAGACGAAAAAGAAAAAACCAGAGCGCAAAAAAATAATCTATCTTCACCCATGGAGGGCTCCGCGTAGACTGAGCTCCGCAGGGCGGGGGAAGGCTTATAGAACAGAACACTCTGATTGGTGGGTTTAAGCCACCAATTTTTTTTTTTTTTTTTTTAATTTTCCCACGCTGTGTAAAATGACACAGAGCACTGATGGCTTGAAATCCATCCAATCACAGTGCTCTGAGTCATTTTACACAGCGTGGGAAAATTAAAAAGAACTTTCCCACGTTGGGTAAAATGACACAGAGCACCGTGATTGGATGGCTTGAAATCCATCCAATCACAGTGCTCTGTGTCATTTTACACAGCGTGGGAAAGTTCTAATTGCAGGGCGGGGCAAGGCTTTATAAGCCTTCCCCCGCCCTGCGGAGCTTAGCCTACGCAGAGCCCTCCATGGGTGAAGATGGATTATTTTTTGGCGCTCGGGTTTTTTCTTTTTCGTCTTTTTTTTTGCGCTCAGGATTTTTATTTTATTTTAAATTCGACGGTTATGATGTTTTTTTATTTCGCCTTTTTTGGGGCTGAAAAATGAAGATTTGAGAAAAAAGAAGACGTTGAATGGTAAGTTTAATTTTATTTTACAGGTTAGTTATTTTATTCCCCCCTTACTATTTTTTAGGGTGAGGGGGGTAGGTAGGGACTTTTTATTTGGGGGGGACGGGGTGGCCTTGTGTGGGCCGGGGGGGGGGAATTTACTTAGGGCCCCCACCCGCCTCCCAGGGGTGGGGGCCGGGTGGGGGGCTGGGGGAGGACAGTAGGTCCCCCTCCCCCACCCCCCCATTATCATTATGACCGCCCAGGGGTGGGGGCCAGAGGGAAGGGTGGACACTAGGTCCCCCCCCTCATTATCATTATGGCCCCCACCCACCGCCCAGGGGTGGGGGCCGGGGGGAGGGGGGGACGACGACACATTAGGTCTCCCCCCTTATTTTACTTTAGGGCCCCCACCCGTCGTTTAGCGGTGGGGGCCAATAGTTTTTTTTTTTACAGTGAGCAGCCACAGGCTGTTCACTGTTTACCAGAGATGCCCCTACTCGCGGTATAGCGAGTAGGGGCATATTATTTACTAATACTAAGTAACCTTAACTTAGTATTAGTAAAGTTGGATGAAAGACCAATTTAGGTCTTTCAACCTTTTAGTAGATAACTCCCTGATACCGTGGGAATTAGGGAGTTATCTACTAAGCGGCTGCAAGATGCAGCTGCGGCAATGAATAGGATCGGAGTTTCATTCATTCGAATGAAATTGCGATCCGAACAAAATGCCGAATTGAGTTCTAAAAGAAACGAACATAATGTTCTCATTCAGTTAGAACGCAATTAGGCAGTTTCGTGTAAAGTGACAGGAAGAATCGCGGGAAGACAGAGGAAAGGTAAGGATCATGGGAAAATTGCTCTGACCAGCGGAAATGAAGCACACTTTGCTCCTCCGCTGGTCAGAGCTGGTCAAGCGGAGGAATCCTCCATAAGGCAAAGAGTCCCTACTTTGTCTTATGATTTTAAAGAAAACTAAAGAAGACAGGAAGAAAAGAATAACAGATCCTGAGAGAGGGGGAGAAGAGGAAGAGATTGAGGAAAGGTAAGTTCGGCATGACAGTGCCGCTTTAAGCAATTGTATACTCATTTCAAGAGAAGGATTACTGTTAAGAATGAAATCACTATAGGTAGAAACACAACACATGCTCTACTGATTTTGGCCTCATGAATTTCCTGTATTTTTTTTGTCATCGATCAATTCTATATTGCTCATCTTTATTTAGTTCTGACAAAAAAAAATTAAAAATAAATACATTAAAAAAAAGGTTCTCAGCTTTCTGCAGCATAAACCTGCTTTCTTAGCAATGCTCTCTTTTCACTCAATGTGTTCCTGAGCTGGCCTCTGCCTCTCAGTATGTACTGAGCCACTGTGAGCTCAGCTAAGCTGCTGGGAGAAAGTCAGCTCTGACAGCAGAAGACAGCCAGTGAGACAATGATATTACTACTACATGTATGTCTGTCAAGTTGGCTGTATTTCTGCCTGGCTTTTGTTTTTATTCTATTATGCTTTAACATCTCATTTGCCACGTAACACAAAAACATTTAAATTCAAGTTCAAATCTCTGTAAGTATATGTTTGGACGTAATCTCCACCCACTTTCAAATACATTTAAAGGAAAACTGACAATTACAGTTTAACCCCTTAAGGACCAAACTTCTGGAATAAAAGGGAATCATGACATGTCACACATGTCATGTGTTCTTAAGGGGGTTAAATCGCATGTTATTAAATAACAAATAATATCTAAATTTTATATACTGCTGCAAATAATTTAATACAATTGTTGGTTGTTCAGTAATAGTATGGGCAAGAAGTACATTCACTAATCTATAGGATTCTTACCTGTAAAGTCATCATACACTTTTCATTTAGCCAGACCTTTCCAGTAGTGTCCCAAGATCCACTTAGCAACGTGCCAAACTTCCCAGAAGAGAGACTGCACACTGTTTAAAGAAAGCAGCAAAGTGTTCAGCTGTATTGTTCTCCAAATAAAAATTAAAACATAAAAACAAATTAAAGACTACTATAGAAAGAAAAAGTCGTAATAACCTCAGTTATATCATAATTTATACATATTAACCATCCTAAAGTATATGATAACCATCTCTGGAGGACCCATGTGTAATTCTCTAAGTACCAGAGCAATATATTAACCTGCTTTCTGGCATTTCCACTCATGACTATACTATGGATGATTTTAGTGAGAGGATACAATCAGATGAAATAGCCAGCACTAGGGGATGTGGTCTGTGTGCTTTCCACAAACCTTTCGTACACTGATTGGGACTTTAAGTAAGAGAAGTTTGTAATGGAATATAGACACTGAAAACAGTGCCAACATAACTTCAGCAATTGAACGCTGTTCAGGATAATTTGTTTGAGTGAATGCAAGCAATGGCCAGTTGAAATTACTAACAAGTGCTTTTCATTGATTTACATTAAATGTATGACTGTAAATGGTATTTGGTATGCAGGCACAAATGTGACACTAGATACCCACTGGATAAAAGGGAGGCCTAAATGTGATTAAGATTTAGAATATGTGGGTTCGGTCTCCAAGAATTCAAAGGAGGTACATTAAAAAGGGGTAATCCATTTCAATCTGGAGTGACAGTGTAATTTATCCTGACATAGTGATACCTACCTGTGTTTTTGTGGCCTTTCAACACATACAGGGGTTTTGTGTTATCCAAGCTGAACACACAGATGTTGTGGTCATTCCCTCCAGTAGCAATCAATCCACGTGGGTAAGTTTCACTTGGAGGTATAAGACATACACAGGAGACAAAGTTGCTGTGCCCGGTCATCCGATGTAATTCATTGAAACCTCTGTTAGGACTAAATGCATACAGGTTGGCATTAATGAAGATATAAACCTTAACTAGTCACGATGCTGACTTTGTGAACAAAAATGTCCAAGCACAGCTGTTCTGTATAATAGCAAAACTAGTGAATGTTTCCAAAAATAAGTTATCATATGTTCCCAAGAAAAGTGGATAATGAATAACATGCCCAAGTCATTTTTGAGAGCGAAATGTAGTATCATCAATACACTTCTTCAAACTATGGCCTAGATTCTATTCCGAAAAAACTTAAAGGGACACTTTAGTAACAAGAACAACTACAGCTTAATCTAATTGTTCTGATGTGTACAGTATGTCCCTGCAGGCTTTTAAATGTAAGCAATGTCTTTTCAGAGAAAGGGCAGTGTTCACATTGCTGCCTAGAAACACCACTAGAGGTTCATGTGCACCTCCCCCCCATGCTTTTCTATAGGAAAACATTGGATTGGCTGAGATCATCAAGTTTGATGACAAGGAGGAGGGGCCAGCTGCGATGGAATAAAAGAGAGTTCTTTAACCTTTCAATTGGAGTCAAGGGGGACCACGGACCTAAAATGGGTATTTACACCTATATCGTCAGGAATACATGTTTGTTGCTTTAACTCTAGTAACTCAACAGTTCTCCCATTCAGGTCTACAGGAGAAGTGCTAAATAGGGACTAGGGCACTATAGTGCTATAAATACTGTTTGGTATTCCTAACGCTATAGTGCTTCTTTCGTGGAAAATGGACAAAATTCGGATAAAACCCAAACACTCTGGCAAGCCTCTGAGCTGGTCCCCTGGACATAGGTATATCATAAAATTACCTTCTTATTGTTCCTTCTAGGAATATGAGAAAACTATTTAAAGGATCATATAGTATGCAGTAGTAGTTATGGTGACATAATTGCCCTGGTACCGTCCCCATTTAATAACAGTTTGCCCTCTTGCCTGGGGTGCACTCCACACCTGTCCTAAGCAGGTACTTCCAGCAGAGAGTTTGTGTGGAATAGTGCCTGGTGAACCCCAGTTAAGTAATCAACCCATTACTTAACTGTTTGACTATGTACATTGGGGGCACAAAGCAGGGGGCTGTTGTGGTTATGGTGCTTAGCCAGGCTCTGGCTTTTTCTTCTTCTAATTTCTCTTATTTTATGGTTTCTCATTTTCAAAATGTTTATGTAAACACGGGATCTATTTTGCCTTCTAGGTTTCTGTTCTTGGTAGCTGTGTCAATAACTAAATATTAATTAGTGCTTAGATATCCATCCTTGTGTGCACTACTTTATATGTGCAATTAAACTGCTGGCTGGAATCAGATATCTATCAAGTTACAAATAGCAGAGGCTGAGTAAAATGAGCACAGAACAATAATAATGCAAACAAGATGGTGCTTCCATGAGGGAGACGAGCAATATATACTATATATTGACTTTCTCAACTCACTGGATGGAATGTTTTTATGTATTGCTCATTCTCGGGTCCTCTACCAGAGGCCTGGGAGTCTGAGAGTTCTGAGCAGTGTCTTAGATGTATATGTCCCCAATTCAATCCACAAGATCTTGGGAAGCTGTTAAAAGGCAATAATCTTTCCATTCAGTGTGACACATCAAAGCCAAAATAGGCTGAACTATAATAGTAGGAAGACATGAGTAGTTGTGATATTGACATCTTATATATGTAATCTTCCAAATTACAATGTGCATAAACAAAGCTCCAAACAATGATCAAGCTTTTCTTGATTTTAAGGAACACAAACGTGTTTTCCTGACCCTACAGTGTAAAAATACCATCTAGCCCCCAATGGGCGACTTCTAAATATAGTACAATCTTACCTTTATTCCAAGCTAGGGATCGACCGATATTGATTTTTTAGAGCCGATACCGATAATCTGTGAACTTTCAGGCAGATAGCTTACCGATATTCATACATTTACCATTTTGAAAAAAACAAAACTATTTCTAAAGGTAAATGCACAAAATATACATGCCACATGTAGTGGATGCAGTGTGTTTAGACAGGGGAGCTGTGTGTGTTTGTGTAGTGCATATATAATGAATGAAGTGTGTATTTGTGTAGTGTGTGTATATAATGAATGCAGTGTGTTTGTGTAGTGTCTATAGTGAATGCTGAGTGTGTGTTTGTGTAGTGTGTATAGTGAATGTAGTGTGTGTAGTGTGCGTAAAGTGAATGCAATGTGTGTATAGTGAATGCAGTGTGTGTGTATAGTGAATGCAGTGTGTTTGTGTAGTGTGTGTGTATATAATGAATTCAGAGTGTGTGTTTGTGTAGTGTGTATATATAATGAATGCAGAGTGTGTGTGTGTGTGTATATATATATATAAATAAAATGAATGCAGAGTGTGTGTTTGTGTAGTATGTGTATAGTGAATGCAGTGTTTGTGTAGTGTGTGTATATATAATGAATGCAGAGTGTGTGTTTCTGTAGTGTGTGTATATAATGAATGCATAGTGTGTGTTTGTGTAGTGTGTGTGTATATAAAGCAGAGTGTGTGTGTGTGTGTGTGTTTCTGTAGGTATGTAATTTGTGTAAAATGGGGGATGGGGGGAAGGGGAGGCATTTAAAAAATATATATAATTTTTTTAAATATTCATTTTTTTTATTCCATTGAATCAATGCATCTTTATGAGGAAAGATTCGTGTCTCGGTGCAGAGGGTGGAGACACTGAATGACTGTGCAGCACTGACCCAGGAAGCACCCCTGGTAGCCATCTGATGAGTGACCACTGGAGGTATTCCTAGGCTGTAATGTAAACACTGATTTTTCTCTGAAAAGACCGTGTTTACTGCAAAAAGCCTGAACAGACTGATTATACTCACCAGAATAAATACAATAAGCTGTAGTTGTTCTGGTAACTATAGTGTCCCTTTAATTGTGTTTGGTATTTTGTGCGCAAAAGCACCCAATTATATGTAGATTGGTCACAAGAAAGATATCTAGTAATCTAGGGACATCCCCACTGAACACAGAGAGTGACCTAGAGACATCCCTCATGAATATAGAATAACCTAGAGACATCCCTAATGAATAGAGTGACCTAGAGACATCCCTAATGAATACAGAGAGTGAGCTAGAGACATCCCTTCTATGGAGGCAGATTATACTATGCATGTTACATGATATGTAAAGGTGAGATAGATATGACAGAAGTGTTAATGTGTGAGGGTGGTACATCCCATCCATAAATAAACCTCCTGCCATTGTCACACATTGGGGGGCACAGGCAGTGAGGTGGTTATGGTGGTCCCTGGGAGCAGCTTTATTAAAGTTTGATATCTCTATTCATTTATCAGCACGCGGCTCCCCTGATAGTAACCGCCGCCAGCTCTGTCACAATGCACGGTTTAGTGTCGGGGGGCCCCCGCGAGACCATCTCCCACAGGGGGCTCGCGAACCGGCTCACCTGTCTGGCCCCCAGAGGCGCGCGCTCCGGTCACGTGACACCGACACAAAGCCCTCACCGGCCGTGAGCGGATAGCGCGTGACGCCCCGCACGTCCAGCTCGTGCCCGGGAATAGAGCAGCGCAACCGGTAACTGCCATCCCCTTCCTCGCCGGCCTCCGCCATGACACAGCAACCAGCCGCACAGCAACGGAAGTGATGCGGCGGAACGCAAATCCGAGGGACCAGAGGAGGAAGTGACGGCACAGGCTGCCTGCCCTACTGCCCGCGGCAACAAGGATGCCGTGTGACAGCCGCAATGCATAGCATTACCATGGCATACTCAGCACAGTGTCCGACTGCAATGGGACACGGTGTTCATCAACAGGAACACACGGTGTCGGGTTTTGTGGGGTTTATATCATATATTAACTACTGGTGCAGCAAATGTATGCCCAAACCCCCGCTCTGCTCTCTGGCACTCAAGGAGTTAAATTATGTGACGTAAACCCGTCCTCGGCCATCTAGGGTGACGTTGGGTCTGCGTTAACCAATCAGCCTCTATTCAGAGGGAGTCGCGAGAATCTCACTGACTTCCGCGAGGTTTGGCGGTTGGGCCTGGAGGTCACGTGATCTTTGTTGCCAAGCGACAAAGTGTCACGAGAAAACGGAGACAGCTAACGGTGTGTGTGTACAGCCAGCTCTCACTGTATGTATTTATATAATAACAATAATAATAACCCAGCCAGCTCTCACTGTATGTATTTATATAATAACAACCCAGCCCTCTCTCACTGTATGTATTTATATAATAACAATAATAATAACCCAGCCAGCCCTCACTGTATGCATTTATATAATAATAATAATAACCCAGCCAGCCCTCACTGTATGTATTTATATAATAATAACAACCCAGCCAGCTCTCACTGTATGTATTTATATAATAATAATAACAACCCAGCCAGCCCTCACTGTATGTATTTATATAATAATAATAATAACCCAGCCAGCCCTCACTGTATGTATTTATATAATAACAATAATAATAACCCAGCCAGCTCTCACTGTATGTATTTATATAATAATAATAATAACCCAGCCAGCTCTCACTGTATGTATTTATATAATAATAATAACCCAGCCAGCCCTCACTGTATGTATTTATATAATAACAATAATAATAACCCAGCCAGCTCTCCACTGTATGTATTTATATAATAATAATAATAACAACCCAGCCAGCTCTCACTGTATGTATTTATATAATAATAATATAACCCAGCCAGCTCTCACTGTATGTATTTATATAATAACAATAATAACCCAATTAATAATAATAACTCAGCCAGCTCTCACTGTATGTATTTATATTATAATAATAACAACCCCTTAAGGGTATTTTTGCATTTTTAGCTGTTTGTGTTCAACTGCAATTTGCATCGCTCTCATTTATTGAATCAACACATATTATATATCGTTTTTTAAAGGACAAAATGGGCTTTACTTTGATGTGACTTATACATATATAAAATCTAATTTATTATTAAAAAACATTAAAAAAAAGAAAAAAAAAAGAAAAAATATACCGTATATACTCGAGTATAAGCCGACCCGAATATAAGCCGAGGCCCCTAATTTTACCCCAAAAAACTGGGAAAACATATTGACTCGAGTATAAGACTAGGGTGGGAAATGCAGCAGCTACTGGTAAATTTCTAAATAAAATTAGATCCTAAAAAAATTATATGATGAATCAGTGGTGTGTATGAGTCTTGTGTATATGAGTCGCTTGGTGTGTGTATATGATTATGTATGTGTATGAATGCAGTGTGTGTGTGTATGAATGCAGTGTGTGTAATGTATGCAATGTGTGTGTATGAGTGCGCAGTGTGTGTATGAGTGCGCGCAGTGTGTGTATGAATGCAGTGTGTGTATGAGTGCAGTGTGTGTGTGTATGAATGCAGTGTATGTGCGTATATGAATGCAGTGTATGTGTGTATATGAATGCAGTGTGTGTGTATGAGTGCAGTGTGTGTATGAGTGCAGTGTGTGTATGAGTGCAGTGTGTGTTTGTGTTGCAGAGCTTTGGTGGGGGGTGGGCATTTTTATAAAAAAAAGTAATTTTTTTGGTTATATTATTTTTTTATTATTATTTATATATTATTAATTGATATTATTTAAAAAAAAATTGTTATATTATTATTTTGTTTATTATTATTTTTATTATTATTTTTATTTATATATTATTAATTTATTTATTTATTTTTTGTCCCCCCTCCCTGCTTGATACATGGCAGGGAGGGGGGCTCTCCTTCCCTGGTGGTCCAGTGGCATTGACAGTTCAGTGGGGGGAGGAGGGGGGCTGGCAGAGCTGTTACTTACCTTCCTGCAGCTCCTGTCAGCTCCCTCCTCCTCCGCGCCGGTCCGTGCAGCTCTTCTCCCAGCTCACACTGTAAGTCTCGCGAGAGCCGCACTATGACCCCGCGGCTCTCGCGAGACTTACACTGGGAGCTGATCGAGGTGCTGCACGGACCGGCGCGGAGGAGGAGAGAGCTGGCAGGAGCTGCAGGAGAGGTAAGTAACAGCTCTGCCAGCCCCCAGTCTGTATTATGGCAATGTAAATTGCCATAATACAGACACTGACACGAGTATAAGCCGAGTTGGGGTTTTTCAGCACAAAAAATGTGCCGAAAAACTCGGCTTATACTCGAGTATATACGGTATATATTTTTCACAGTTTTGGCAATAATAGTGTGTGTATAATATGTCCAGCTTAGGAAAAGTAATTCAAAATAAATTCATTTAGGTTTCTTGTTTTTCAAAGTGCATAATATGTAAAGGATTTCAGCTTATTTTAAAAGTTACAGATCACAAAATACAAGGAGTAATATAAAATTTAAATGTGAAAAAAATTTAGAAGTTGGTATGTTTGACTTGTAAGTTTGACAGCTGTCACAGAAAACAAAATTGCTACACAAAAGTATATATTTAAATAAAGAAGACATCACAGGCTATTTATTTAAGGGTATTTTGACACTTTTTACATAGCCTTTTTCCCACCAATCTCTGCTACATATTGTAGTAAAATTGTGTTTTTTCTGTTTTTTGAAATACACACATGTAACAAGGTTTTTTAAATGTGTATTTTGTAAAGCTGCTGTGTGCTATTCCTGGTCAAAATGCCATTTTGTGTTCAGCAACATCTGCTGAGTACAACAATACCCCCATTGTATGTCTTTGCCACTATTTTGGGAAGCTACAATGAAATATAAGAGGCCAGACTATTTCAGTTTCTACAGTTAGAAAATTCAAAGATGGATTTAATGGACCTATGTCTTATTTTGGGGCATTATAGTAGTTTGGTTGTTCAAATGACCACACAAAGGCCTTCCATTCGTGAAAGTAGACACTCCATGGTATCTCATATGGCATATATTTTGCCTTAACGGTTCACCATTTATTCACCATTATATGTCAAAATTTGTGTTTAAAAATATTTTCCGCATTTTTTCCTTAAGCATTACATTTGTGCTGGGCATTTTGTATATTTGATATGTTCCACTATGATCAAACACCCCTAATTATGCTCAGCTAAGTCTTCTGAGTAAAACAATACCCCCAATGTATGTCTTTGACACTATTGGTGATGCTACAGTGCCATAAAGGAGACCTGACCATTTCAGTTTTTTAGAGTAGAATTTTGAGAGACGGATTTGCAGGGCTTATGTTTCAATTTGGGCCATTATAGCAGTTTGACTGTTTCAAAAAGGCCTACCATTTGTGAAAGTAGACACTCCAGAGTATCTCACATGGCATATATTGTGCCTTAACATGTCGCCATTTTTTCACCATGATATGTCAAAGGTTGTGGTAAAAAAATATTTTTTGCATTTTTAACTTATGCGTTACATTTGTGCTGGGCATTTTGTATATTTGATATGTTCCAATATGATCAAACACCCCTAATTATGCTGAGCTATCTCCTGTGAGAAAAACGATACCCCCAATGTATGCCTTTAGTCGTATTTCCTGATGCTACACTGCCATATAGGAGACCTGACCATTTCAGTTTTTACAGAATTTTATAGGTTTATGACTCATTTTGGGTTCTAATAGCAGGTTGCTTATTCAAACTTTCCCCACAAAGGCCTACCATTTTTTAAAGTAGACACCCCAGGGTATTTCAAAAGGCCCATTTTGAACCTTAGGGTGGAATCATTTTTTCGCTAGTGAGTACCAAGTCTAGTAGTAGTAAGCATTTTCTCTGCCTTTTTGACACACACTGAGATTTTACTGCATAGTTTACAATCCTTAGGTGTGCTACGGCAGTATAACGCTTCATATGTCACTCAGCTATGTCGTCTGAGTACAGCAATACCCCTGTGTGTACCTTTCCCAGGTATATGTGGATGTTGGAGGGGCAAATTTGAGACTCGGCAATTTCAGGTCTGTTTCAAACTTTGAATTTTTACGCTGGGTCCATGTCCCATTTTGGGGCATTTGACAGGTTGAGAATTTAAACTTCCCCCACAAAGGCCTACCATTTTTTAAAGAAGACATCCCAGGGTATTTCAAAAGGCCCATTTTGAACCTTAGGGTGGGATCATTTTTTCGCTAGTGAGTACCAAGTCTAGTAGTAGTAAGCATTTTCTCTGCCTTTTTGACACATACTTTGAGATTTTACTGCATAGTTTACAATCCTTAGGTGTGCTACGGCAGTATAACGCTTCATATGTCACTCAGCTATGTCGTCTGAGTACAGCAATACCCCTGTGTGTACCTTTCTCAGGTATATGTGGATGTTGAAGGGGCAAATTTGAGACTCGGCCATTTCAGGTTTGTTTCAAACTTTGAATTTGCATGCTGGGTCCATGTCCCATTTTGGGTCAAACTCTGAGGCACTGTCTGTCACCTCTGAATCCGCTGTCAGAATTCTCAAACTGTACTTCCAAAGCATTTTAAACTTTTTACACAAGAACTTTAACAAAACAATGTTATTTTATTTTTTTGTTGGTTTTTTTTATTTGTATTTCTACCCCTAGCATACGCACTAAACTCCCCAATTTCCCAGGAACTATCATCCACCCCAATTAACTAAATAAAAGGTAAAAAAAAAAAATTGTATTGAGAATTTATTGGCTCTGAGTATGAAATAATTTAAAACAGTTCCCAATACAAAGGCCAGGCTGAGAGGGACAATCAAGGCAGTAGAAACTGGTCTCCGTTCGAATGCCTCTCTGGTAACACAGCCTGCACCTTTTCTGGGGGGTCTTTTTTTGGGGGGTTGGTGGTATCCGAAAGCAGAAGTGACCTGTCTGAATATCTCTGCTGCTAGGCCCTGCTGATGGCTCCCCACTGTGGCACTCAGTGAGCAG